CAACCGGCATGGATTGATGGGGGGTGGGGGCTATGAGTAGACAAGAGGAGAAGAGATGAGTTTTGAAAAGGGACTGGAATACTGTGAGGGTCTCAGAATAGCGGAGATCTTTGCATCGATATGTTCAAAACGTTTTTTTCAAAATGTAAAAGAAATATCTAAAATTATAAATAGTGACAAATTTAATATCAAATATTTCTAATGTGAACCAAAATATAATACTAAATATTATACAAGTGATTTCTCTTCACCAAAATGTCAAAAATGGCATAAAAACACATTATTCTAATACGGGTCCTTTTTGACCCACTTATGGAAGAGTGTAGGGTCCAGTCACTCGGGCATCGAAGGGTTAAGATTTAAGGTGCTGTAGCTTTACATCATTATAATCATTATTATCATTTTAATTATTTATTTGTGTTTGTTTTGTCTGTTTTAGAAACACTCTTTTGATTAACTCATTTCTAAATTACTACTGCAATACATACTACTGACCAGTAGATGGCAGTATAGGCAACACTATGCACAGGTGGATTTTTGTGATAGAGCTCTCAAATGGTTACACAAAGTATCCATATATCTCTCTAACAAATAACAATAATTGCACAAAACGAGTTAATGAATAGTTAGTGGTCACAATTACAAAATAAAGACTCTTGAATAACTTTAAATTACTGTTATCTCCAAAGAAAATTGTTCTTACCACTTTTAAAACTTGCAAAACTATTGTGTATATTTCCATAGCTTGTTCATATCATGTGTCAATAGGGATTAGTTGTATAAGGTTTTATAAATATCCCCACAATATGTTTGTGTACATTTGGTGAAATGCTTTACATTTTGGTTTTAACTCAAAGAAATCCATTTTAATCGTTTATTTGTACAGGGACAATTGTAGTGCCGAGAGATAGGGAGTCAGTGGCGGTGCAAGGAAGGTGCAAAAGGGTACTTTATTAGGGAGTAGAAAAGGACATGTTGTCCGGTTGCAGTCCGGGAAGAAGAGAGAGAAGCCAGGAGGGCCCACAACATATATAGACTACACATAACATGTCCGTGTGGAAACAAAACCCCAACTGTAGTTCCATGTGTGAATTATGAACCCAGTGTATAAATAGGTGGTCACCACACAATGCACATTAATGAACATTTTAGAAAAATAATGCTTCAAGTGTAAATATGCCGGATTTTAGCTTTGAGCTCATTTCCATCCGTAGTCCCTGACATACAACATATAAGAACATGACATTTGTAAACATAGCAACAAATAAATACATGATATTGTTTTTTTAAGTTAAGAAAAAAACAATATTCTAGACATTATTGTCTAGAACTGGACAATAATGTACTTCCAGCCATGAAGCAAGTGTTGAAAGGCCCTTTCCTCTTTCAATATCGCATTACGAACTGGAGTTCGACTGGGAGCCAGGCTTTGAACACCAGTTGTTCACCCGGCTAATGCTCTTGTGGCTAAAAAGGAGCAGCAAGGTTTCTTAATGTGGTGGAACGCTCCCCCACAAGAATGGGCGATGTTATATAGCGGCACATTGGGGCCATGGGAGGAGAAGATGTCCAACTGGCACATATGGGTGTTGTACTCAGATGTCCGCTTTTGTACGAAGTGTCTCATTCTGTTGTAGACATGTTTCTGTTTCAAACCTGGGAACATGACAATAAAAGGTACTGTATAAACCCTGTATAGAAAACTGGTAAACATAATATTTGTATCAGTCTTGAAAGATGCTCAGTTACTCGACTGAAGTACAATTGTGTGGTACTAATGCTGCACTTGAGTATAAAGCATGTCCAATACTTCTACTTCACTACATTTTGGAAGAAAGTTCTGTACTTTTTACTCCTCTACATATATTTTAAAACCTCAGGTTCTCTGCAGGTTGATATAATTAACACAAAGTATACACGACACATGAAGGATGATGTACTATTAGGGAATAAGCAGTAGGAAAAGTAATGCATCAATAATTGTATTACAATAAGAGAATAAATGCATTATTCCGATAAGTACTTTTAGCTTTGGTCCTTCAGGTTTTGATGCTAATACTTCATTCTAAAACCAATGATAAAGGTATGTTACTTGCAACAGCATTCCTACACTGTGGTTTTAATGCTTGAAGGAGTACGTCTTCTTCAGTCTCTGCTTGTTATAAATCGCACAACAAAGAGATGCCTTTAACGCAGATGATATCATATGTTAAGGCAGACATGTGGTGGCTGGGATTTTGCCAAGGACACATAGCTAACAGAACAGTTTCTGTGTGTACGGTCACTTTACACACACTGTTTTGTGTGTGTGTAGGGGCTGACTCTTGTGAAGGGTCAGCAGGTTTGCTTGTGCGACCTATTGACCTCCAGTGACAGTAGAGTCCTTTCTCTGCGCACCAGCAGAAGAAGAATAAGACGGGTATGTGGAATGTGTTAGCGTCGTGGCTACAAGGGGGTAATGTTACTCAGGGGTTGTGTTGTTGTCACAGTTTTGACCAGGGAGGTGTGCTAGTTCACAAATTGAAATGACAGTGTGTATTGCAGTAGGTACAGTGATCATTTGAGGCGAGGGTTTTGGGCTTTGGATCCTGTGCGGAGTTTTGCATTGATGACGAATCGGTGTAGGTCAACCAGGAAGTTAGCATGGCAAGTTGTAACTCGACAAAAAGCAAGATCATTTTTCCATTTGATTGTAGAATATTGCAGGAAATAAGATCTGTGGAAAACACACTTTTTGTTGAGTAGGATAATCTCCACATATTAAGATTTGTAAAGCGTAATCGCCAGATGTAAAAAGCGAATGTCACGCTATAAACAAACTACTTCACGGTAGAATGACTTCACTTCAATTAGCTAAGAAAAAGACAGATTTGTGTTCAGCGTAGTTATGTTTATTATTTTTCATTAAGTAAATGAAGTTTTTAAGACCCCAGACATTGTAGGGTTTTTACTGACGTACTTTTATTTTTCAGAACAAAATGTGGATATCTCCACAGACCTTTTTTTAAGCATCTAACCAAAAACACGTTTAAAAAAACATTGACTTTCAGACGAGGGAACCGTGAGTTGTAAAATGCGAACTCATTTACGGGTTTGAGGGCTCATCCATCACTCTCTTAGAAAATGGAGAAAACAATAAAAGCAGAACACATTGAGTTATCGCAAAGAACTCCCAGAATAGGAAGGACGTTTTCTTCCATTGGAAAAATGGTACGCAGACACAACACATGTCAATCATCAGGGCCCAGGAGTTCAACACTTTTAATCTCAATCAGATCCGATCAGATTTTGAAATCCCATTTTTTGTGATCCTGGATCAGACAAATCGGACAAATGTTGTCCCTGGAGTTCAAATCAATTCAGGATAGGATCACCCTGATCCAGATTACGATTTTTCAAGATGACTAGATCCTGAATATCAGTGCTTTAATCCTACCGAGCGCCATCTAGTGGATATGAAAAATAATACAAGGAAGACAAGAGACCACATTGCAGACATCTATTGTTCGCAATTACTTTTGAAAGGTGATGACAGACTTTTCTTTTGTTGAAGATATTTTTAATTTAACATTTGTGATTGACAATCTTTGTTGTGATACTTTTATGAGCATAAACATCAACATTTGGTTGAAAACAAAATAGGCCACCACAAACGTGACCAAAAATGGAAAAATAAAATGTATTTTCCATGAAGGCTAAAAATTGTGTATTATTTCAGTTAACAAACTTTGCCATCTAATTTAAATTGAAACATATTTTAAAATAAATTGTACAGTACATTTTGCTCTGGTAATCCACTGGAAATCCACCTCTCTGGTGGGATCAGGATAATCCAGTTTTTTGTGTTGTGTTGTCAGTTTGAACTACCCGTTTTGAAGATTTGATCCAGATTAAAGCTTGGATTGGATTTCCTGATCTGATATCAAAGTGATCCTAATCCTGTTTTTTGGCTTTGAACTCCCCAAAATCCAAATCTGATTTGATCAGATTTGGATTCAACGTTTTGAACTCCTGGGCCCAGGCCATCATTAACTCTTGCATTTGAGACCCTTTTTAGACATGAGGTCATATCCTGAATATGCCTACAGGTTTTTATCATCCGTAAAATGAAATGTGTCTGTGACCATCAATCACTTTCGGCCTCACATGGGTCAAATGCCACAGGCTTTGCTAGCATGCTAAGCTAATGTGGAATGATGTTGGCGAGATAGTTGAAGGTCTTATGTCATCCGATCAGGGTGGGCTTAAGTCAGGGGTAGGAGTGGTCGTGTGAGAGGTCAGAGGTCGGGTCAGTGTGTCTGTTGTGTTGCCAGCACTCAGTCATCCAGACAACAGCTGAGCACTGGGAAAGTCCTCAAGGTCACCCGTGTTTGTGTTACTGACCCATTTTATTTTAATGCAGAGCAGCTCAGGGTGTTAAAACACACATGGGAATGTGGAGCAACATCTCAATGTGAATCAGCGTCATTTTACTGAACAGGACATGACCTGTAGGAGCCAAAACGTTGATTTATTATTTTGAGTATTTAATCATTTAATGTATGTAATGAGTATAATTGATTGGTGTCAGGTGATCGTGATCCGCAGCCACGCTGGGCGGAGCGGCTGATTGGTGCTGCGATTGCCTCAGCTGGTTAAAAGAGTCCTGCTGATTATACTCTGGGTTCTAGTTTGGTTGTGAAGCCACACGGTTTTTTGACCGCGGCATTGCAGAGAAGAGAAGATTTGTTTATTTAAATGACGAACACTGTTTCAACATCGTCTGGTAAGATACCTTCATGTGTGTGTTTTAAAGAAGAGAACGACCAGTGTTGAAATGGAAACGATAACATGGAAATAAATGTACCAAAAACAAACATATCTCTGAGTGATGTGTGAGCGCGTCGGCCAGGAGCTAAAACCAAAGAACAGAAAAGAGCTTAAGAAAGGTGGAAAGAAGGCTCTTTTATGACCAATTAACACATTTTATTATTATGTATTAAAAAAATACAACAAGTATTCCAGTGCATCAAGAAAAACGACACATCAATGTTGTCTTCTAAAATACCTCCAAAACATTGAAGATCGAGACGAGAGTGGTGGATTGTGTATCCGTTGTCTACCTGTGTAATGTGTCAACACTGTGTTTTTCTATTTTTGAAATGTTAAACATTGTCACTTGCATGTTGAGTTACTTTAATAACCTTTAAGACATTGAATCTAAACTCAGATTAAGATGAACGTTGTAAAATTCAATTAAATGAAATCTGCACTAAGTGAGTTTTTGGCCTCTGGGTGCTTTGGAGAAGACTAAAGAAAATAGTTTGACTTCACTCTTAATATTCATTTGAATTGTAATCACTTTAGATGTGTGGCAAATAGCAAACCATTGCCATTCTTACTGGTGACGTATATGTAGCTTGCTAGATGTTGGTAGTTATGCAATTTGGTACTGGAGTGGTTTCATACAGTGGGTTTATGAGAGCTTACATTAAAAAAAACGTAAAGAGTCTAGACGTTTTTCAAACCAAAACAACGAGCCAACATTTTTTAGCTGCCAGATGAAGTTCATTTTGTGGTCAGCTTTTAGGTTTGATTTCCACCAACTCCTCTTTACATGACACATCACTAGTTAGACGCTTTTATCCAAAGCGACTTACAAACTCAAAACTGTGGACAATCCCCACAGGAGCAATTTGGGGTGAAGGGTCCCAGGGACACAACGACATGCTGACTGCAGTGGGGTTTGAACCTGTGCTCCCCTGATCCGAACACCAACGCACAGCCACTGCGCCACACGCCTTTACCTTGCTAACGTGCCCTTTTTAAAATCTTGCGAGCTTACCTTTCACCCTACTTAATAGATGTTGTTTGTCTGCCATTTGGAGTTAGGCTTAGAGTGGGTTTAATGAAGCTGACTTTTTTTGAACAATGGTGGCTTTTTCTCCGTAGGTTTGTCACTATTACCAACACCATGACACCAAACAACTCCTTCTAAAACATTCATGCTTAAAATGGTTGAATCAAAGACATCTGTAGACGCAGCATTCTTTCCAATGACATTAATAAAAGGCCACCCAGTCATTTACACCCATGCCCTCTTGTCCTGATTGTCGCTGCTATCAGACTGTTGTCCGGAGTTTTCCTTAACTGGAGTGACCTGCTTTCTGACGGCCACAGGTGTTAGCATCCTGGAGTTTGTTGGTGGTCCTCTCTCAGGACGAGGGGACTGTGGAGGTCTCAGTTGGCTGTGGAGGACAAAGTGAGTTGGAGGGCTCGTCTCAATCTCACCCTCTTTGTTCTCTGGACTCTTGTCATTAGCGGTTCCATCCCGTTCGCCATTTGGCACCGCATGTCTTTCATCTTTAAAACCGTTCTTTGAGCTTTCACAGCGACTGGTTTTCCTGGTTATAACAACATCGCTGTCTTCAGTTGTAGATGTTGTTGTGAACACACTGCTTTGCTCTCCTTTACTCATCTCGTCCATCATCATCTCCCTGTGCCTTCTCCATCTCACCATGGCCTTCGTGGAGCTCATCAGATCAACCAAACTTAGCAGAATGGACAAGGAGGCAACACCCAGCATGAAGTTCAGCATTAAAGTCTTCTCCGTAGGTTTGGAGATGTAGCACTCAACCCCAGAGTTGCAGGGAGTCTCATAACAGAGGAACCTCTTAGGAACAGACAGACCGAAGAGAAGAAACTGGCCTGCACCGAAAACCATTTCTAGAAGGATCCGTAGAATAACAACCAGGAAGTAGGTGCAGTAGAAACGCGGCGCTCCAACTTCATGTGGCAGGCCGTGAAGTGGAGCTTTGTGCAAGGAAACTTCTCTCGAGGAGTTCTCGAGAGTAAAAGGTGAACCTCCCCTCTTCCTGTTGCAGTAGAAACCTCCAAAATGGGGGTTTGACCAAACTTTATGCATGACGTAGGTTGCAAACAACACATGGGGAAGACAGAGGAACATGAGGTGGAAGAGCCACAGACGGAAGATGCACACCGGAGCAAACGCATCGAAACACACGTTGGAGCAGCCCGGCTGGATGGTGTTGCAGACAAATGTCTCCTGTTCGTCACTGAAGAGCGTGAAACCGGCCAGAAGGACGGCTGGAAGACGTAAAACCAGCATCAGCATCCACCAGGTCTTTCCTGTGATGGAAAGAAAACGATATGAGAGATAGATTCGGTGAAGATGAGAAATCATAATGATGTCGTTGCGGAAAAGAGGACAATAAATACTTGAAGTATGATTATTTACAATTACATGAGTGTAATCTATAACAACAAAGACATATGACAGAGAGAGAAACTAAGGGACACATTTCACTTCAGACAATGAAGAATATCCTTCCAGCATCTGTCAAAATATATTGGTGTGGTATATTGTATCATAATTAAGATAAATGCAATTCAATTTTGATTGGATTGAAACAATGACTTCCACCAGGTCTTTCCTGTGATGGAAACAACATTTGTATTGTCAGAGTTAATAGATTTGTTATCTTCACGGACTACTGTATACTTCTTTCTTTCGGCCTTCTTGCTTTAATTCTATTTTGAGATGTTTAAATTCTAGTATTGTTCATTTATACTCTTTAATTTGTACTTGTGTGCAATGCCTTGTTTTGTTGTTTTTTATGCTGCTGCAAACATTTCCCAATTTGGGATCCAGGGCCGCCCCACCCTAGAGGCCAATCACGCAGGCTGCATGGGGCCCCGCCTTGCGCAGGGGGCCCCGCCCAGAGGGCCTCAGCTGCTGTGCGCAGTTCTCCGCGCACCCCCCGCGAGAGTGAGAGGTGACAAGGGGAGCACGTCTGTAACCCGACACCTTTGCAATGAATCGACATCTGACCAATCACGGCTTTGATACGGCCACTAGTGCAGGTGAAGAGATGTCGGTGAAAAGACAGTTTCAGTCCGGAGCAAGCAAGAGGGAAAAAAAAAACATGAAGAAACTAGAGCATCACTCGAAGGTGGGTTATTGTATGAGTCAAATGTACAACTTGTGAATGTTGTATAAGTCAAATTGCCAATTGCCATATTAAAACATCAGCTGCAATTCACGACATGAAGAAGGCAGTCTCTGCAGAGCATACAGGCGAATGGAGATGCAGTTATTTCCAGCATTCTTTATTTACCATTCATTCAAGTATGTGATGCCTTTGATCTGCTAATGTACAGGAGGAAGAGTGATACACTGTCTGTCTAGTTGGCTTACATAACAGTTCAAGTTTACAGCCTAAAAAACATGGAGCATTTTTCCCCCTTTTTATTCATTTTTATGTCAATTTGCACATTTCATGGTGACGCTCAGCCTCTCACCTTAACTCCTAACGGCCCATCCACACAGCAGCGTTGGAAGCTTCTTCCAACGCGTCTGCCCGTTCACTTTGAATGGGATGACATCACTTTTCGCCGAACTGCATTGTGGGAAGCAGAGCGGAGCTTTCCTGGCGTTTCAGGCTGCAAAAGTTGAGCAATGTTCAACTTTTGAAGCTTCTGAAGCTTTCGGTGGAAGCAATCAAATCATATGCCAGTACAAGCTCTAGCCAATCAAACCGCTGCTTGTGTGTCCGGGGCGGGAGATTCATGTGATTGGTTGTTGGTCAAGCTTCAGACACGCCCGCCGGCAAGCTTTTTCCAAAGCCGCTGTGTGGACGGGCCGTAACAGTCATCGTCATGTCAACCACAACACAGAGAAATACTGATAGAAATGTGTGTGTAGTTGTTGATACATTGCTGACAGAGGGAACTACGTTTGAATACAGATTTAAGAAATATCAGTTTTTGAGCATGTCATAAGCATGTTTTGTCTTGACTATATTACAACTATATTATAATTAAATAATATAGTATTTATATTATTGAATTGATTATGATTATTATTATTAGTAGAAGTAGTTTATTTGCATTAATTATATTGTAATCTTTTTGAGGCTAGTATTTGGCAGGAAATGCAGACGTATTCACCTGTAAACGCACACTGAACGACATAAATGCACATTTACCATTTACCTCACTGTATACAAAGTAACTGTGTTGATAATAATAATAAACAGGAATTATATTTGCAAAGTACTTTGTTTCCAAAAAAAAAGTTCACTCCTGTCGGTTGGGGGGGGGTGGGCCTCATCTCACAATGTCGCTTGGGGCCCCAAGTTGGCCAGGGGCGGCCCTGTTGGGATCAATAATGTACCTCCTATCTTATCTTATCTTAACATGCCCAAATAATAATGAGCGCCAGTCATATGGGGGTTATTCCCTATCTTTATTCAAGAGCGTGGTATTTAAATTTGAGAGCATACTTTATGTATTTCTTTCCCTCAAACCGTCCTCGCACTCAAATAGTGCCTGCTTGCACTTAGATGTGCTCTGCTTCTGCTCAAACTGTACCTTTGCACTCAGATATATTGCTGCTTACAGATTTATTCTGTGCGCGATTGAAACTTTTGTGCAACAATCCTGTCAAAATCCCTCAACCAATAGGAGGCCAGGTGTCCTTGCGTGTGCGTTCGCTTTACTTATTACAGCGTCCCGTAAGGGCGGTTACTCTTTGGTTTATAAACTCCCGCCCTCCACGGCTTTATAACATAGCATGTACTGCAAGTGTAATCTATAACAAATAAGACTTGGGAATCATGGAAAAATGACAGAGTAAAACTAAAAAGGGACAAAATGTCACTTTACTTGAAAAATAAAATCATGAAAATGCAAGAAAATACTTCCAGGTCCAGTCAAAATATATTGTTCTCATGGTATATCGTACCATAAATGCAATTAAATATGCATTGAGAACAATTACTTTTGATTGGATGGGAAAGGGAAAATAAATGTTTTATAGATGTATTAAGTGTTTGAATTGACAGCTCTTTACAAATACTTCGGTTTCGGTTCGGTAAACTATTACGGTGACTCTACAGGAAACAAAAAGACATTTCTTGATTATCATATTCTGAACTACAAAAAGGACTTACCCATAAAAGAGACATTTTGACTGATGGTGATGAAGAGTAGATCTCTGGCTCCCAGCATCCTGATGGTTCAGCGCTAACTCTAACTCAAAATGCCAATGAACCAAAACTCTTCAGCTCTGTAACACACATCAGAGTCCAGGAGAAGTTCCTGAGCTGCTCTCCTCTTCAACGCGGCTCCAGATCTTCAGCTGAACTCTGAATGCAGTCACCTCAGATGTTGTGTTACTGTGTTCTGCCTGCAGAGAGCTATTCTTACCGCCTGCTATCAAAGCATTGTTGGGATGTCAGAGTCCCAGTCAACCTGACTGGAAGCTGAGGATCATACGCAGGCATCAAACAGGTGCGACAGCTACATGAGTCAAATTACATTCAGATCAAATAGGACATTTTTAGGAAAAGCAGCTTATGCACAAAGGTCTTCAATAAACACACTTTTAGACAAGGGCTTTTCTTTGATCACACACATAAATAAATCACAATTAACACGTTCCCAGTTTTTCAACTCTTTATACGTTATACAAAGTTAATTTGCAAAATAAGTATATTTTAGCGCTTCAGTTTTCAGACAAATGAGGGAAAGAAAACATGAAAACCTGATCAGATATTTGCCAATAGCAATAAGATGGAAATAAATGTCCGATGGAATTACAAAATACCAGTTTCAACACTTGGCTCAGCAGTTAGGGTTTCATAAAATGACCCTCATTGAAAAGTGAATTAAGAATATCACATTTTGTCCATTATTTGTGTGATTCTGGGCTTTAAAGGCAGTCTTTGTGGTTCACCCTATAGGGCCTTATTTCTATTATTTTAGTAATCTTAACAATCTTAATTTTTTAGGGCAGACACCATGGATTTGCAACATGATTAATTGGTTGTCAAACACTAAAGAAAGCAGATTAATGGACGTTTATATTTGTGACAACTACAGGCTGTTATTGAACGACTGTGTGACTAACAATAAACCCCCGGCTGGAAACATGGGAGAAGTTTATTTTGGGATTTGTGATATTTTACGGTCTTATATTACACATCACAGCCGTCACATTACCGCAGCAGTCTTTTATCCATAGCACTGAAAGTTAACTTTTAAAAAACTGTCCATTAAAAATCGTACAACGGTGGACGTCTCAGGGAGTAAGGAATATCTCTGTCTGTTTATCCTGATGCATTTTTAGGTGTAGGAGCCAAATGTGAGGTCGACTTCTTCCTATTATGTGGTATTTTTAACTCATCACTTAAAAGGAAGAGAGAGGAGGTGAGTCTGGTGTTTCGGTTATCCGCATTTCATCACAATCAGCCATCTAACTTGTACTACTACCACCGATTGGACCGTATTTTTGACTGTGTCTTCGCAATAAATGGTGAAACGAACATAAGGATTGGAGCAGTTTTTTTGAGTGTTTAAAAACAATTGGGAAAGTTAGAGAAACCACCTTATCCAGACAGGACTGCATGCATGGATGTACTGTTTCAATATAAGTGAACTTTCCAGGTACTGTGTACAGTAGATGTAATGCACGGTTATGTAGTTGTATAATACTGAATAATTGAAAACAACGCACTGTCCTGTGTTTTAAAGTAACAGTATATATTGGTGCTTGATACATTTGTAAGGTGCAAAGTCACCCTGCATTAGTATAAATATCTATTCCAATACATACCGCTATAAAAATGGTATTTGGGTAAACAAAACTAATCTCAAATCCTCAAATGTCCACTAGATGTCAGCAGTGAGGTGTGCTTACTCTATTCAAAGCTTATATTGGGCATCTAATTTTGAATTGACTGAAACTGCTAAAACGCCTTGTAATAATCATGTTAATATATAACCAGAGTCTGATGAGTACAGAATCAGAAACTCTGGAAAACGGGTTATATTTCTTGCTATAGAGGCCAAGAAAATGTGGTAGTTTGATTATTAATGTCCCTAAAATAGGAAAATATCACAAGATTATATTAATTCTGTCCTCCACAATATGTAATTTGTCACTTTCAACGCTATAGAGGAGCATCACAATAGATTAAACGGACTACCTGAGTATCGGAAGGTACACTACAAACACTGTAAACCTTGAATATACATATTGCCAAAGGAGAAAACTTGCTAACACTTTAATTATTCTAAGTAATAAATAATAAGTCCGGTGCTACACTACTGAAACTCTGCAGGTGCTATGGGTTCAGGCAGAAGTCCACGTATAATCAAATAAATAGTATGCTTCGTTGTGAAGATGCACGGCCATTCTCAAAGGCAGGTTATGTCAAATGTTTTAAAATAAGCCGGACACAAAACTGAACCGAACTGAGTGCCGTGTCCCAGGAAGAATTTCAGGCTTTTTGAGTCCAGGACTTTCCAGGTGGGTCCAAATAAATGTTTCCCACAGATACTATAACAGTCAGGAACTTCTCTGTCATTATCAGGAGAGTTGAGGCACTGAGAAAAACATCAGATGTGGTTCCACTTTCTTGCCTCCACTCAAGCAAAACCAAATCCCACCGTCTTGGTATTATCTGTAATCCAAAGTAAAGTCCTTGTGTATAAAACCATGTTGGTATATTTCGCCCTCGTGAGTTTTTTCACCCAGCCGGTGCTCCTGCAGCCTGATGCCAGTGTTCAGATTCATATTGGTTAGGAGAGGATAGCAGGAACCCATTTGATGCCACATAGATTGTCCGTGCTGGAGGAGCGTTTTTTGGCAGCTTTCCGAACGTCCTTGTACCGGTCATCACACAGCCGGGAGATAGCCTGAAAAGAGGACAGGGATTGTTTTTATTAACACTAGAACCGCCAGGGGTCGCTTTATACCTAAAACCGCCAACGGGTCAAATGTACCCGCTAATAGAATACATTGATTTTCAAGGTACAATGTTCTTTTATTTAGTGTGAGTGATGAAACTTATACCAATGGAATCTGTGGACTCTCAGCTTTCATATGCTATCTAGTGTGCAGATAGCATGAAGTATAACATATCGCTAACAGTGTCTCTCTACCTATCTATCTATAACCATCTATCTCTATCCATCTATAACTATCTATCGATCAACAACTATCTATCTCTCTATCTATCTCTCCACCTCATCTCTAAGGAACCGCAGTAAACAACAGGCGTTGCTATAGCAACACGTCATGTTTTCGCGCGAGAATCACTGCATTTTCTATAAGGTAAATATTACCCGCTGGCGCTGATGGGTATAAATGGCCATTTTTTCAATCTGACTTCATATTGACCATTTTTAACACCAGAGGGTGCGACATAACACACTTTCAGGAAAAGTCACAGACTGGAAGACTTGAATATGTTATTGAAAAAAAAGTTAGATACAATCAAGAAACAGCTGCGGGTAAAATGTACCCGTTGGCGGTTCTAGTGTTAAGGAACAAATACTCTACTTTTATCATCCACAGAACCTTTCTGTGACGCGCAATCATACAAGATGTTAAAGAAGAGATTTGACATGATACTTAGGTTACTGTTATTTGTATAAAGCTTCCACGCAATGCATCATTTATCCCATGATGAATACAATCACTATTGGTACAGTTTGAATTGAATTATAACGTCTTTAAATGTATTCTGTTGAAACGTTCTGTATGATACAATCGTGATATAAATCAGTAAACTTTGAATCCCCCTTTTGACCGAGAGCATCAGAAAGTATTGCTATGCAGAAAGCGCAAACTCATCAAGTATTTTGTTGCATTTCCACCACATCTAAAGACCCATTAAGATTAGTCAAACCAGTCCGCTAAACCATTCGAAAAGGCATTATTTCGTCAATTTAAATCGTCAAAATGAACTGCAACAGTCACGATATTTTGTTGCTTTCCTTTTTTATGTTGATGGTGAAATAGAGATATTTAAAACACCTCCAAAGAAGCAACAATCTGCTCAATGTTCTGTTTTTTAACCACATTGTATAGAATAGAAACTCATGTTTACAGTTTTGTGGTTCAAAATAACTTTCTCCTACTTTCTTTCAAAGCACCGCTGGACGTACTAAAGTAAGAGATATTTAAACACATACAGAGAGCAGACTGTGCATGGAGGCGCCTCACCTCCAGTTTCAGGGCCTTGTCTCTGCTGAGCAGCTCCAGAGGGAAAGCTCAGGTTGTTGGTTTCTGACAGCGAGCGCAGGTCAAAGTAATACTTGGCGTAGACACTGGACGGCACGTTGATGTTGAACTGCAGCAGCTCCAGGAAGTGCCGCTCCAACTCGTTCCTGTGAGAGAGGAACGAGCAGGAGGTTCAGTCATGAAATCAAAACAAGAGATACTACTTTTCCAAGATGCAAGCCCTCTCACACACTCACACACACACACACACACACACACACACACACACACACACACACACACACACACACACACACACACACACACACACACACACACACACACACACACACACACACACACACACACACACACACACACACACACACACACACACACACACACACACACACACACAACACACACACACACACCACCACCTTCTCCTCTAAGAGCTTAATGTACATGTACTGCTACATACCTACTCCTGTGCACACTCACCTACCCACATTAATGTTATTTAATAATAATACACAAGCGCTTTTCCAGGTGCTCAAAGACACTTTTGATAAAACATGATAAAATAGAATAAAGAATAGAAATAAAAAATAAATAAATATTAAAACGGCATAATTCACAAATGAAAAGCCAGTCTGAAGAGGTGTGTTTTGGTCCGTGTTTTGAAAGTGGGGGGGTCGGTGCAGTCTCTGATGTGTTGTGGAAGGGAGTTCCAGAGGGTGGGGGCAGCGATGGGGAAGGCTCTGTCCCCTCTCTGTCTGAGAGAGAATCTTAATGGTTTTCTCTCCTCATTTGTTTGAGCAACTTGCGTATGTTTATCCGTCTGTGTCTTTGATGTAATTTGTTTTATTTATTTAGCCTTTATTTATACAGGTGTAACATCTCATTGAGACACAAGGTAATGATGGGCCATATCTCTACTTTCTAACATATCGGTGTACCTCTTATTTGTAATGTCATGGGGTGTTGAACATGTTTGTGTTCTCTTTACAGGTGGACCAAAAATAGCCTCTCTACTAGAAGAATCCTTCAGCCAAGCTC